CTGGGAATGTAAGAACTGAGGTCGTCAGAGTACCAAAAAAGAATCAAACTTTTTCACATTAGAATTTAAAGAATGTGGTTAAAGGAAAAGTTAACTGGGTTCTGCGCAGCAGGTTAAACATGTAACCACTTCAGACAGAAATGACTTTGTCCTCTCACGTAGTTCTGAAAATGCACTGTAATATCCCATTTTCTATATCAAAAGCACATAACTTCATGTGCAAAAGCTCCTTTATTTTAGATTTAAAATCACCTCTAATCCACCAAAGTTTGTTTACATTTTATCAAACTGCTATTTTAATAACATTTTAACAGCTTTGTTGAGATATAATTCACATACCATAAAATTCATTTAAAGTGTTCAGTTCAGTGGTTTTTAGTGGTTTAGAGTTGTGCAGTCATCACCACAATCTAATTTTAGCACATTTTCCAGTACTCCAGAAAGAAACCTAGTAACCATTTTCAGTCACTCCCCATTCCCCCCCCCCAGCCCTAGGCAACCACTAATCTACTTTTGGTTTCTATTTATTTTAATAACATTTTAAACTTGCAATATTACTTTTCTCATGCCTATTTAGGTCATTGGCTCAGAAGTTTAAGGGCCCTTAAGTAGCCAAATTTATAAGTCCTATGACATCTTCACTCAGAAAACATTCAAATGGTGGTTTCATGATAATATGATTGTTCCATCTTCCAAGAGTTTTTGATCTGGAGCATGTGTTTCAAATTCTGTGTTTGTACCACTTGCTAAGCTCGCTCAATTAGAAGGAATAAAATCATTCTGTCAAGACTCAAAACTAAGTTCTATTTGTGTTAACAATTCCAGGCTTTTGGTAGTAGAAACACCTTTAGCAATCTTCTGTGGCACACTGTGGCACACCATTATCTTCTATTATAATGTCACCTTCATCTCTGTCTTCATCCTTTGGCTCAGAATTTGGTCCAATCTGCTGTGCATAGCAAAGAAGGCTATTATAAGCAGATTGGCTGGAGCTGCCAGAAATCTGTCTGTTCCCAGCAAGATTATTCTCCTGGTTTGCTGATCTCACCATTATGATGAAGTTGCTGCTGTTTGCAGTCATCATGTCTGTTACCTGATCCAGATGCTTCCCTGAAACTTGTGTACCATCAACTTGTAAAAACTTCATTATTAACAGTGAATAGTCCTGTGCCGTGAGCGAGACCTCCTGGAACAAGCCAAGATATAAAGATCCCCAGGATGTTCTCTAAGCCTTGTGGTGTCTCCCTTAGGCTGAAACCATCCCAGATATAGATTTCTAGGGACTGTTTAGTGCAGTGTTTGTAAAGATGAACCCTGAGATGAATTTCTGGGAGAATATCCACATCTGTAATAGACGACACAGGTCTGAAGTCTTGGGGCGGGCATACCAGTGAATCGATGTGGGCTTTTTCTGTAGTTGGTAGATACAATGCATCAATTAAAACACTTTTCTTATCTATTAGTGTGTCTGTACCAAAGGCACTGTTGCCTCCTGCCTGCTTTTGTATAAAAATCCTAAGCAGTAGGTTGGCTGTTGAAATAGCTTTATCATAATCGTCATCATCATTATTTATAGGTTATACATCTCCCTGAATGTCTGCATAGCCTATTAAAATGTCAACATTAGGTATCTTATGAACAAATTGCAGTAATCCATAAAACTCTTCAAAATTTCGAAGTTTTGTCCTTTCTAGAAAAAACCGACGAAATTCAGGGCCAAACCTCTTCACCCTCAGGATGCCCCAGCAGCTGCGGCCCACCTGGTGCCACTGGCCACCACGGCTACAGCTCTGGCTATGGCTCATGCAGAGTGCCGGGCTTCCCCTCAGGAGCACTGTGCAGGCGTTTGTCCCAAACACCCACAACCTGAGACATGTGTGCGGAGGCAGTGGGTGGGAAGGCAGCTCCCTCCCTCAGAGCCCCAGCTGTGGGGGGTGGGGTGGGTGCAAAACATCACCCACCTCCTGGCTCTCTGCTGTCCCCCACCCCATGACCGGATGCCTGAGCCAGCCCAGCAGCGTCAACTTGAGAGATTTTAAGTGACAATATTATAAGACATTTTGGAAGAAAAGATTACCTGTAATCTCAGCACCTTAGCATATTTTTTCGATTTATTGAATATTACTTTTGAGGCCTTTTCCATGAGTATATGTTTTCATGCTGTGGTTGTCCAGTGTATGTTCTATTTTATATGTTTTTCTCCATTAAAATAACCTTTATTCTCCATGTTTGAAAACCTTAATAATAAAAAGCTGGGAGAAATAGAAACTTTTGTGTTGTATGCAGATACCAGGTAGGCAAATTTTTGTGTTTGTCTCCTCCTCATTCCCATATTCTTGCTAGATTAGCAATCCACCACCTATCTTTGGCACCTGCCAGTGGCTTTCTACATGGTTGACTGGGCTATACGTGTGTGTGCATGAATATTTTAAACCCTCACAACATATCATGATCTTAAAATCTTCCAAACCCCTCATATAAACAAACATGCGCCATTCCTTGCTGGTCCTTTTTGTGCCATTGTTAGCTTCCTAGTGCTATTGTCCCCAACAAGATTCCTGACCACTTGGCTCCTTATGCCAAAGCTTTCTTTACATCCTTCTCTTTCTGTGCCTTCCTGCCTTTCTGCTTACCCAGTACAAAGCCTGAATTTGCTTTCACAGAGAAGCCTTACATTATCTCAACATACTTTATGGCACTCAGACTGTTTCATATCTGAAGCCTTTTTATCACCCTTCCCCAATATGTCATACCCTGTTTTCTTCTATATTCACAATTCCTGTGCTCCATATATACTTATTTTCTACAATATCATTTCCTCACTTTCTTTGGCTTAGATCCTAATTTTTTTTTATCCTCTCCCATCCCTTTCTTTTGATGCCTTCCTTCAACCCCAGGATGTCTATCTTTTGCCAGTGATCTTTCTCCCTTTCACTCTTAACCTCTCTGGTAATTCTGTTTTCACACCCTTCTCCAAAAGCTGACACTCTGATAATGTATATGTAGTGTTCAGTTGAGTGCTTCTGAATAGATATCTGCTGTTCAAAACAGTGAAATCTGAACTATTAGCATGGAAATAACCTCTGGGAAGATGAGGTCTCCACTTGAAAGCTTTAAATAGAGATTCTTCTGCTCATGTTGAATGATGGGGTTTTATCTAATATTATCTGAAATGGGGTAACTACTTGAACCACACAAAATAATCACCACTGTGAAATGAGAATGTATCTGATTTTTACACTTCTATTTTGATTGACCTGAGAAATAAAACTTACCACCTCAGAGAAGATAATTTTCATGTGTTTTGGATTATATTGATCATTAATTCTTCAGGATAATTATAGACTTTGAAATGTTTAATACAGTCTCCAAGTCCATGCTGAACTCCCCTCCAGTGATGGGAGGAACAGGAACTCATAATCTACAAGGCAACCCAATCCATTTTGTATTGCTATTTATTGATTATTATAAAGTCCATCCTTATATTGAGTTAAAATCTACTGGTTATAATTATATTGTTACCTTAATTCTGCCCTCAAACTACATAGAATTTGGATACCTTTTCTACATGATAGCCTTTTAAGATATCTTAAGGTAGTTATTCTAGCCTAGCCTCTCTACCCTTTCTCTCACAAATTTTTCCCCCTTTGGGATAAACATCCTCAGCTCTTTCAATTATTCCTCACATGATACTTTATCATCATCCTGATCACTCTCTGAGGACCTTAAACTTTATTACTGACTGTTCTAAAATGTATTTGGGACTGGGCATGGTGGTGCATGCCTGTAGTCCCAGCTACTCAGGAGGCTGAGGCAGGAGGATCATTTGAGCCCAGGAGTTTGAGGTTGCTGTGAGCTAGGCTGATGCCATGGCACTCTAGCCCGGGCAACAGAGTGAGACTCTGTCTCAAAAAAAGTAAAAATAAAAAGTAAAAAATAAAATGTATTTGGAACTGAAAATAATAATATGTAGCTGGATTGGATTCTGGAAATAATATTCAATATGTAATTGAATTGGATCCTGATGTTGCACATCTGGACACTGATGCAGCCTGAAGTTGATTTAAGTTTTTTAGCAGTCATGTTATGTTGGCTCATCATGAATTTGTAATTAACTAAAATCCTAGGGTTTTAATCTGGAGGTTTGCCTTCTCGTGATATCTTTCCAAACCAAGTCTCCATCTTCCTTTAGTTTTGCAACAGATTTTTAAAAACCAGAATGTAATACTTTACAGTTACCCTATTAAATTGTATCTCATTAGCCTATCAGCTAGCCTTGGGTTCTCTGAGTCTTGATTTTTTCCATTCAGTTTATTATGCTGATTCAACAAAGGGCCTTGAAGCTAACTAATGTCAGATATCTGGGAAATGATAATCAAAAGTCATAGAGACTATGTTCCAAAAACTGTTAGATGCAGATATAACTTAATTCTTCAAGTATATATAAGTTAATACCATATAAGTTAATACCTTGTCAATTCACAGTACTGTGAATTGACAAGGCCAGGTGAGACTGAAGTCCATTGCCAGCTTGCCTTGTGTTGAATATTACTCCAAGATAGGTGCTATTCCAAGACATGTTGTACCAACATAAAGCCAGAAAAGCTAGCTGATTCTTCCTGAGAAATCAACTAATGCACATAAGAGGTAGAGATAGAGTCATTGTGCGCATTCTTTTATTTTGTATTTGACAAATTTATACTGAGCACAGTATCAGGCAATGTGGGACATACTGGAGAACCAGCTTTGCCTCATAACTAGGGTGACCACATGCTCTGGTTTGCCTGAGGCAACCCTGATTTATGCCTGTTGTCCCCATGTAATTATTAGTAACATCATTTTTCACTTTCAAAAGTATCCAGGTTTAGAGGATAAATTATCTTGCTATCTTCCTCATAACCCACTGGTTCCTTTTAGTATCTTATCTGGGTTACATATTACACAGCCGCAATTTGGCAAATCTAATAGGTTGCAACAGTACTTCTTTTCCATTTGAACAGATTGTTCCTTGCTTTATCAAGCGAAGTTGATGGCAAACGTTAACCTCACAGTGAGTTCTGCAAATTCTTAGCACTTCTTGAGCCACCCTCTAGAGGGCAGTATTATATATATATGTGGAATGATCCAATTTCAACCAAAAAATAGGCTCTTGTACATGATAATTAGAAATAACGTGATGTTCTTAAAGAACACATTGGAATCAATATTGTGAATAAAACTTATTTTCTGAGCAAAAAAGTAAAATGTTAGAAATGAATTCATTAATATTCTGAACATTCTTTTTTTAACTTGTAAAAACTGAACTTTAATGGCTTGAATATACAATGATCTATTCTAACAATTATGCATAGACTTTAATAATCTGCATATTTTATGCTTCTTTCATGTCTTTACTAATTAATGATTTGACATGTTTAATAATTATAATATATTCTGCATCACATAGTTTCCATAGTTATGTAAAACAAGCACTTAAAAATTAATAGTTTTGTTCTACCTATTTGAATATTACTTTCCACAAGAGAAGAAAAAAATTCTAGATTTTATGACTTGAATCATGTGGTAATGTTAAACTTTAGTATTTAGAATTAGAATGTTTCTTAGAAATTGTGTAATTATTTTTATGTCATGAGTACATAATTTGTTAGCTCCTAATAACAAAAGTATGTTGTTTGTGTTTCATATTTTGGATTTCCTAATGTAATGTTCTCTTTTTAGAAAAGGTGGACAAGTCCTATTTTCAAGAGAAGATGACCTTTAACACTTTTGAAGGATCTAAAACTTGTATACCTGCAGACATCAATAAGGATGAAGAATTTGTAGAAGAGTTTAATAGATTAAAAACTTTTGCTAATTTTCCAAGTAGTAGTCCTGTTTCAGCATCAACACTGGCACGAGCAGGTTTTCTTTATACTGGTGAAGGAGATACCGTGCGGTGCTTTAGTTGTCATGCAGCAGTAGATAGATGGCAATATGGAGACTCAGCAGTTGGAAGACACAGGAAAGTATCCCCAAATTGCAGATTTATCAACGGCTTTTATTTTGAAAATAGTGCCATGCAACCTACAAATCCTGGTGTCCAGAATGGTCAGTACAAAGTTGAAAACTATCTGGGAAACAGAAATCATTTTGCTTTAGACAGGCCATCTGAAACTCATGCAGACTATCTTTTGAGAACTGGACAGGTTGTAGATATATCAGACACCATTTACCCAAGGAACCCTGCTATGTGTAGTGAAGAAGCTAGATTAAAGTCATTTCAGAATTGGCCAGACTATGCCCACTTAACCCCAAGAGAGTTAGCTAGTGCTGGACTCTACTACACAGGTATTGATGATCAAGTGCAGTGCTTTTGTTGTGGTGGAAAACTGAAAAATTGGGAACCTTGTGATCGTGCCTGGTCAGAGCATAGGCGACACTTTCCTAATTGCTTCTTTGTTTTGGGCCGGAACATTAATATTCGAAGTGAATCTGATGTTGTGAGTTCTGATAGGAATTTCCCAAATTCAACAAATCTTCCAAGAAATCCATCCATGGCAGATTATGAAGCACGGATCATTACTTTTGGGACGTGGATATACTCAGTTAACAAGGAGCAGCTTGCAAGAGCTGGATTTTATGCTTTAGGTAAACTTTATTATAAACCCAATAAATACCTTTCCAACTATCCCAGAGCTCCTAAAAACTAAATAGATGCCTTTAGCCCCTTGAACTGGTAAATATTTAGGTATAAGCTGGCATGATTATATCACTATTATTCTGTGAACTCTCGTGTTGAATCTGTAATGTAACTACTGAATTTATGCAGGAAAAACTACCATATCATGAGTCATGTTTATCTTTATGTAATTGTTTTTAGGAGAGGGATGACATGCCTGGTAGATGGTAGATATCCCTGATAGAAGAAGAATTGGTCTAATAGTAATACTAGCTATCATTTATTGAGCACCTACTATATGTTCTCTCTCTCTCTCTCTCTCTCTCTCTCTCTCTCTCTCTATATATATATATATATATATAAAACATACATTTTCTCTAAGCCTTACAACAACCTATAAAAAGAGTTAGCATTAGAGAGTTTAGTTTGGGTTCTACTGTATTAAAATTGATGTCTACCTTTAGTACATAGACTATATATTTGAAAACTGCCCTGTATTATGCCTACTGCTTCAAATGAATGCCTTTCACATGGACTGCTATAGACAAGTCAGGAAGGGCCATTAATGTGATGGCTTCCAGGGGATATTTTTAAAATCATACCATTATATATCTGACCCATTTATTTTTAAGATTGATAGTGCTTATAAAAATTGGTTATGTCAAAAGATTTTATTTATATAGAATCAAATAGTAATCTTGAAGGTTTGTTTAGTGTCATTCAGCTAAAACCTTAGAGAAACTTAATCTTGTAATTTCATTATGTTAGAACTTTATCGTTACTAACACTTGGAACATAACTTGTTTTAAAGTTTCACCGTTTGAAACACAAAGTGCAATATTAATGGCCCAAATGACATACGTAAAAAAGAAAGTAACAATTTTAGTTTTTAACATAGGACAATTTTATTTTTATTTGTCTTCTGTAAAATACTTTAGATCAGTGAATTGAGTGTTTATTTCCTCAAATGATAAAGATCATGTCTATTACTTAGATGTGAACTTGAATGTCCTTTAAGCTATGAGATTTTCATGTAATTTAGATGTGCTTAATTTTTAGGTGTGAAAATGGGTATTTTTGTGTAAGTTTCTAACTGCACAAATAAATATATCTTGTGTGTTTTCTTAGGTGAAGGTGATAAAGTAAAGTGCTTTCACTGTGGAGGAGGGCTAACTGATTGGAAGCCCAGTGAAGACCCTTGGGAACAACATGCTAAGTGGTATCCAGGGTAAGATATTTAATTGTTCATTTATTAACAGGCAAGTTGAACAGCATGCAGTGGGAAGTCTTGAATTACTTTTCACCTCAACAATTTTTTCCTTTGCTGTGGCTTGAAATTTGTACCAGGTTTATAAAAATGAGGTCACCTACTTTATAAGGAAAAAAACCCACCTCAGCCTTTTCTGGTGACCAAAACATTCACTATGTATGTGTCATGTCTATGACATAAGATTATTCCATATCTAAACACAAATTAGGAAATGTATGTGTTTTTGTTGTTGGAAGTAGGCTCTTTCATGATAGGCACAGGAGAGCCCATGTTGCCAAGGAGATTCCTTAAGAAGTCATCATAGCTCCCAGGAAATACTAATGTATCTCATTGACTAAGACACATAATTGTTCACATTTTTGAGATCGCTGAAATCAGGACACATCTGGTAGTAGGTCATAATTTAATTGGCGGCAGTTTTAGATGGTATGTAATAAAATAATCATGCTCCTTACACCAGTGGCATCTTAGGATGATAATATGCCCTAAATGTCTTTTTGCCATCTTGCCTCTTTATTTTAAAGTACACAGGTATATAAGTGATGTGAATTCCTGGCCTATGAAAGAGTACAACTTAAAACTTGAGATAGATCATTTGAAAAGAAATCTTAGCCTTAAACAGCTTTAAAGGGAAAGATTGAAAAGCCTAAAGAATTCCTTTTAAATGTACAATTGGTTAATCCTCTAAATAAAACTTTTTAAGGAGATTAACTATTTAAAACTTTAAAAAAATGTTAAGGTGCAAATGTAATAACTCTTGTTTAAAAGTTTAGTTCTCAAGTTGGTATTTTTTTTCTCTACTAACAGCAAAAGTAGCATAGCAAAGGGAACTTTTTTAAACCTTAAAATGACAATTGGGTAGGGAATTGGGTAACATTTTACTTTTGCTCCTTAGAAATACCAAAAAGAAAGTTAATGATATTAATATGATTGAGATTATATCTTATACTTTACTAATTTATCAGCTACTAAAGTTGAACCTTCTTTTAATTGTTTAGGTGTAAATATCTGTTAGAAGAGAAAGGACAAGAATATATAAACAATATTCATTTAACCCATTCACTTGAGGAGTCTCTGGTAAGTCCCATATTGTATAATATATATTTTCAAATATTATATCATTTGTTTTACAATTATTTCTTTGTGTAAAATTCACAGTATAGTATTATAAATTAATAATACGTGATGAGCTTTAGCAGGGGAGAGCTTGAAAAATGCTTCTTAGTTTTGAAGCAAATCTGTGAAAAGGGGATCAGCATGAACTGATTTAAATATCACTCTAGGCAAAAATGATCTTGAAGAACTAAAATACTGAAGTCCCTTGCCTTCTGAATTTAGACCTTTGTATAATGTGCTTTGTACTCATAAGTAGTTTTAAACTTTTTGCAGACGATATTGAAAATCTCAAAAATGTATCTAAATTGATAGGATGAACTGGGGTGGCCAAGGCATAAGTAACATGTGGAAAGAACCCTGGACTAGCATGGGAGACAGTTACCATGATGGCTCTACCATAAGTCATTCAATCTCCCTGGGCCTCAGTTTCTTGTCTGTAAAGTGAAGGGACTGGATTATTAGATGATCTTTTAACAACTTCTAGCTCCATCAGGCTGTGCCTCTTGTGAACATTCATATATTGAATTGGAATAAAGCCCATTTATTTCAAATTTATGATTAGTATAACTTTTCAAATTGAGGTACTTGCCTCTTACCAAAAAGAATTCTAACTTATAATTCACATTTCTATTATAGGTAACAACTGCTGAAAAAACACCGTCACTAACTAAAAGAATTGGTAAATATGCTTACTAAATTAAATATACTTTTAATTTCACTGTGAATTTATTATATTTATGGGGTAGAAAGAGAACATATTCTTTCAAGGTCACCACAGTATATTTATTTAAGATGAAATTGCTGACTGGGTGCAGTGGCTCACACCTATAATCCCAGCACTGTGGGAGGTCGAGGCAGGAGGATCAGGAGTTCAAGATCAGCCTGGACAATGTAGCAAGACCTTGTCTCTACAAAAAATTAAAAAAAAAATTAGTTTGGCATGGTGCTGCACACCTGTAGTCCCAGATAGTGGGGAGGCTGACATGGGACGCTCACTTGAGCCCAGGAGTTTGCGGCTGCAGTGAGCTATGATTGTGCCACTGCACTCCAGCCTGGGTGACAGAGCAAAACCCTATTTTTTTTTTTTTTTTTTTTTTGAGACAGAGTCTCGCTTTGTTGCCTAGGCTAGAGTGAGTGCCATGGCGTCAGCCTAGCTCACAGCAACCTCAATCTCCTGGCTCAAGCAATCCTTCTGCCTCAGCCTCCCAAGTAGCTGGGACTACAGGCATGCGCCACCATGCCCGGCTAATTTTTTATATATATATATTAGTTGGCCAATTAATTTCTTTCTATTTATAGTAGAGACGGGGTCTCGCTCTTGCTCAGGCTAGTTTTGAACTCCTGACCTCTAGCAATCTGCGCGCCTGGGCCTCCCAGAGAGCTAGGATTATAGGCGTGAGCCACCACACCCGGCCAAAACCCTATCTCTTAAAAAAAAAAAAAAGGTTGCTATAAATTTAAGAATTTAATGAAGTGCCTGTAAATTTTAGTCAGATATTTCTGTTCTAAGAACATTAGTACAGCCATTGACAGTTTTTCCATGTTCAGGAGGAACCAGCTATAGGCGGTCTCATTCCCATTTCTGTTAAAATCACGAGAGAAAGGGTTAAGTGTATTTTTGTCCCTGGGCTCTTTAAGTAAGCCAGGATTATGAATTACATGTGGTACTAATGTGCTATCACAATGATTAGCCCTAACCCACCTGCCTCTATTGCATGCTGTCTTTATGCCTTCCCTAGCTTCACAGAACGGTAAGGTTTGGTTTGTTTACCTCCTATTCCCTCATAAAGTGGTAGAGGTTTTTATCACAAAGATTTTTTTACTCATCATAGACATCTTTAAAAACCATAAAGTGGGCCGGGCATGGTGGCCTATGTCTGTAGTCCCATGTACTCAGGAGGCTGAGATGGGAGTATCACTTGAGTCTAGGAGTTCTGGGCTATAATGTGCCGCCATGCTGATTGGGTGTCCACACTAAGTTCAGTATCAACATGATGACCTCCTGGGAGCTAGGGACTACCAGGATGCCTAAGGCAAGGTGAACCTGCCCAGGTTGGAGTTGGTCAAAACTCCTATGCTGATCAGTAGTGAGAGCGGACCTGTGAATAGCCACTTCAGTCCGGCCTGGGCAACATAGTGAGATCCTGTCTCTTAAAAAAAAAAAAAAGCCTTAAAGTGGGCAGAGAAAGATATTATGTTAAGCAGGGAAGATACTGTTATCGTCACTTTTCATTTATTTAATTAATTTATTTTTTTTCCTCTAACCTGCTTCCGAGAAAGATATCCCCACTTTTCAGATGAAGAAACAGAGGTTAAGAGGTTACCTACAATCACATTACAAGTCATTAGTGGAACTAGGACTGTAAACAAGGTTTTCTGAATTCTATATCACACTGCAGATCTCATTTTCAACTTAGGCATCATGTTTCAAAAATAGTAGAAAATTTAATTTAGAATATGTCTGGTGATTCCCCACTCCCTATACTTGTAGCATCATCTGTTTAGTATCTTAAGGATTATAAGGGAGGAGAATACTATATATATTCATAAATATGCTTGAGAAGGAGAATTACTTTGATACTTTTTGATATGGTTTTGGTATTTTTTTTTTTAAGACAGGGTCTTGCTTTGTTGCCCAGGGTACAGGCCTAGAGTACATTGGTGTCATCATAGCTCACTGCAACCTCAAATTCCTGGGCTCAAGTGATCCTCCTGCCTCAGCCTCCCAAAGTGCTAGGATTACAGGGGTGAGCCACTGTATCCCCCTGATATGGGGTTTGTAATGGACATAATAGTATAGTCTAAGAAATCATTTAGTCCAGCCTATATTTTTAAAGTTATTCAGAAACAAAGATTCTATAACTTTTTTTTGAGACAGGAGTCTTGCCCTGTTGCACAGGCTGGAGTGCAGTGGCTATTCACAGGTGCAATCATCGCACACTACAGCCTTGATCTCCTCACCTCAAGCAGTTCTCCCTCCTCAGCCTCCCTAGTAGCTGAGACTATAGACATGCACCACAACACCCAGCTTCTGTAACATTTCTTTTTTTTTTTTTCTGAATATGATGATTTTATTATTCATGGAATTAATGGAATATCTGGCTTGGAAGGAACTTTGAGTTCCTGAAGCTCGCTCAGGGAGAAAGCTGAGGTCTACAGAGAATGGAGATAACTATTCCAACGTTATGTGGTGACTCAGAGGCAGGAGTGGCACCCTGAACTCTTGAACCCTAGACTAGTTTGCATGATTTGTTAAGGACCACTGCCCAGGGGTGGAGAAGAAAGATCCTCCCCATAAGAACATCTCTTGCCCACTTTTTTTTTTTTTTTTGAGACAGAGTCTTGCTCTGTCACGTTGGGTAGAGTACATCATCATAGCTCACTGCAACCTCAAACTCCCGGGCTCAAGTGATCCTCCTGCTTCAGTCTCCTGAGTAGCTGGGACTACAGGCGCATAGCATGAAGCCCAGCTAATTTTTCTATTTTTAGTAGAGATGGAGTCTTGCTCTTGTTCAGGCTGGTCTCAAACTACTGAGCTCAAGTAGTCCTCCCTCCTTGGCCTCTCAGAGTGTTACGATTATACACATGAGCCACCGCACCTGGCCTCTAGACCACTTTTATTTGTTTACCTTTCATTTGCACAGTATCACATGGATTGTGTCCAATGGCCTTAGCAGGAAAGTTGCTTCAGAATTTGGCATGAAGCATGTCACTGTTTCCATGGGCCCGAGTTATCTTTCCCCAGATCACTCTGGTTTTGTTCAGTTTGCCACCAGGAGTCACTGCATTGTTCTTTGCTTTGTATATGTAAGCACATCTCTTACCCAAATAGAATTCAGTTTCATCTCGGGCATAAACACCTTCAATTTTAAGGCGAGCTGTGTGCTCTTTTTGTTTCCGGAGACCCTGCTTATAGCCAGCAAAGATGACCTTGGACTGCAGCTTTCCAGACTTATTTGCCTTTTAGAAGTCCTGTTCCCAGCAGACCTCTACGGGCTCCAAGATGGCAGAAATAGCTATAACATTTTTTGATAATATTTTTTGATATTTAATCATCCTTACAATGCATAATAATCTTTTTATGACTAATGAGATTCTTGCTCAGGTTAGGGTTAATGTGTTGATAGATAGCGTCTTACTCTGTTGCCCAGGCTGGGGTATAGTGGTGTGATCATTGCTCACTGTAACCTGGAACTTCTAGGCTCAAGCAATCTTCCTGCCTCAGCCTCCCAAAGTGTGGGATTACAGGTGTGAGATACCACACCCGGTCTAGAGTTAATGTTTTTGTTGTTGTTGTTTTGTTTTGTTTTTTGAGACAGAGTCTCGCTTTGTTGCCCAGGCTAGAGTGAGTGCCGTGGCATCAGCCTAGCTCACAGCAACCTCACACTCCTGGGCTCAAGCAATCCTGCTGCCTCAGCCTCCCGAGTAGCTGGGACTACAGGCATGTGCCACCATGCCTGGCTAATTTTTTCTATATATATTAGTTAGCCAATTAATTTCTTTCTATTTATAGTAGAGACGGGGGTCTCGCTCTTGCTCAGGCTGGTTTCGAACTCCTGACCTTGAGCAATCCACCCGCCTTGGCCTCCAAGAGTGCTAGGATTACAGGCGTGAGCCACCACGCCCGGCCTAGAGTTAATGTTTTTAAATTGAGATATAATTCATATAACATAAATTTCACCCTTACAAAGTGTACAGTTTAGTGGGTTTTAGTATGTTCACAAGGTTGTTCAACCATTACTGCTATTTAATTGCAGAACATTGCCATTACCCCAAAAAGAAACTCTATACTCACCCATCAATAGTCATTCCCCATTGCCCTCCCTGCCCCCAGGCAACCACTAATCTACTTTCTGTCTATATGGATTTGCCTATTCTGGACATTAATGTAAATGGAATCATGCAATATGTGGCCTCAAGGTTCATCCATGTGATAGCATATGTGAGTACTTCATTCTTTTTTATAGTGGAAAAATATTCCATTGTATGAATAATACTGCATATGTTTATCCGTTTGTCAGTTGATGGACATTTGGCTTGTTTCTATTTTTTGGCTGTTATGAATGATGCTGCTATGAACATTTGTGTATAAGTTTTTGTGTTGACATATTTTTTTAATTCTTTTGAGTATATATCCAGGGATGGAGTTGCTGGGTCATGTGGTGTAACTCTTTGTTTAACCTTTTGATGAAATAGCAATTTCCAAAGTGCCTGCAGCATTGAGTTGTAAGAGCTTATTATATATTATAGTTCTTTACATGTAAGAACTATAATAATAATTATAAGTTCCTTGTCAGATATATGATTTGCAAATATTTTCTCCCATTCTGTGGGTTGTCTTTTCACTTTCTTATTGGTGTTGTTTGAAGCACAAAAGTTTTTAATTTTGATGAAGTCTAATTTACCTATTTTTTTGTTGCCAGTGCTTTTGGTGTCACATTTAAGAAACCATTGCCTAATCCAAGGTCACAAAGGTTTATACCTATGGTTTCTTCTAAGAGTTTCATGCGCCAGACCTGGTGGCTCATGCCTGTAATCCTAGCACTCTGGGAGGCCAAGGTGGGAGGATCGCCTGAGCTCAGGCATTTGATATCAGCCTGAGCAAGAGTGAGACTCCATCTCTACTAAAAATAGAATATATTAACTGGGCATTGTGGTGTACACCTATAGTCCCAGCTACTCAGAAGGCTAAGGCAGGAGAATTACTTAAGCCCAGGAGTTTGAGGTTTCAGTGAGTTATGATGACCCCACTGCATTCTATCCAGGGTGACAAAGGGAGACTCTGACTCAAAAAAAAAAAAAAATGAGTTTTATGGTCTTGGCTCTTACATTCAGGTCTTTGATCCATTTTGAGTTAATTTTTGTATATAATATCTGGTGGATGTCCATTTCATTCTTTTTCATGTGGATATCTGGTTGTCCCTGCTTTTGGTTTTTAGCAAGTTGAGTTTGAAATACCTGTAGGACCTCAAAGTAGGAGGATATTAAAACCTGGTACTCATATAAATGAGAGTAAGATGGTAGTGGTAGGGGAAGTGCCTGAAGAGGTCACATCTGATTAGGTGGGCAGACTTAAACAGCAACAAAACAAACTGGAAAAAAAGCAAGTCAAAAATAGGAGAAGCAGAAAAGAGCAATGCCCACCTGCCTTCTGGACATTTCTACCTAGAAATCCCCAAAACATCTCAAATTTAGCATCTCTAAAAACCACTCAGACTGGATCTAGTCCTGTTCTTTTTTTCTCCTGTACTGGTTAATACTTCCACAGCTCACAAAGTTGCCCAGTAATTTGAGTCATTCTAAGCTATTTGCTCTCCTTAATCCTTCTATATTTAATTAACCACCAGGTCCGATAGATTCCATCGTTTTAATATTGTCTGAAATCCGTCCCCTCCCCACTGATTGTGCTCTAGCTCAGGCCCTTATTTTTCATTTGGGCTATTGTAGTAGTCTCCTCACTGGTCTTTTGTCTGCATTATAACCTCCCAACAGAGTTTTTCTTTATCAAACACAAATCTTAAGTTACTTTCATACCTAAAAAATATCTCATTACTTACCATATATATTTCTTATAATCAAATACCTACATCTCTACTTTTCCATCCTTTTCTCTTTTCAAAAACATTTATGAAGTATAACATACATAGAGTAAAGTTCTTAAAGTACACTAATCTTAAGTTTTCATCTTGATGTATTTTAACATATATATACACCTGTGTAACCATCACTCAGATCAAGATATAGAACATTTCCACCACCCCAGAAAGCTCCTTTAGGCTGCTTCACCATCAATACCCACCCCAAGTTATATTCTGGCTTCTATTATCATAGATTATTTTTGCTTATTACCTTAAGTTAGTTTTGAATTTCTTATAAATGGAATCATGTAGTGTGTACTTTTTTGTGTTTGATTCATCATTATGATAATGTTTTGCTCATCATATCTATGAGATTCACCCATATTTTCTATGAAAATAGTTTGGGATGTTTTTCTTCCTTTGTAGTGTTTGATTATACCACAATTTATTTGTTTAATCACCTGATGATGGACATTTGAGTTCTTCCCAGTTTGGGGCTATTATAAATATAAAGAATGCCACCATGAATATCTCGTGCATGTTTTTGGTGGAGATAATCACTCATTTTTTTATGCCCAAGAGAGGAATTAATGAGTCAGAGGGTACAAGTCTCCTCTCTTAGCACTTCCCTCCACATCTTGTACTCCTACTTTGATTATCATAAAAATGAGTTTTCACTGACTTTCTGCCCTATCTAGTCTAACCCCCTCAACTACAGAAACTAAGTCTGAGAGCTAGGAAACTGATACATACAAGGTTACAGACTAAGACTTCCCTCAATTTCTCATCATTTTTTCCAAATAATTGCTACTGACTTGGTAACAGCATCCACCCTTTAAGTACCTTATCTTAGCTGTTAATTAATACAGCTGGATTCAAAACAATTCAGATATTTGAAGCACTTAACCCTTTTCTTACCTCTTTTACTTTGTCTTGCATTGTTTTTTGGTTGTTGTTTTTGTTTTGTTCTTTTGAGACAAAGTCTTGCTCTGTCACCCCAGTTAGAGTGCTGTGGCATCATCCTAGCTCACTGCAACCTTAAACTCCTGGGTTCAAGTGATCTTCCTGCCTCAGTGTCCTGAGTAGCATGGACTACAGGCATGTGCCACCACATCCAGCTAATTTTTCTGTTTTTTGTAGAGACAGGGCCTCACTCTTGCTCAGGCTGGTCTCGAACTCTTGAGCTCAAATGATCCTCCTGCTTTGGCCTCCCAGAGTGCTAGGATTATAGGCATGAGCTACTGCACCCAGCCATTTGCCCTATTTTAATGGTCTTGATAGCACCTAATCTTCAATAATCTGAAGCATTACAAAATACATACTCACTGCCTTTGCAATTAATTGTAAGATTCTAAACATGATCCTTCACTGCATGAGTACTTCAAAAAATCTTGCCAAAGCAGCTTTCGTTTGCTGGTTTGTTTTTGGTTTTACGCTTGCTGCTTAATTTTTTCTTTTTAACTATATTTTGCTATTGAGTTGTGTTAATGAAAGCAATTGTTTAAATTCTATGTTCTTTTTCCTCACCAATTTTCTTTTCAGATGATACCATCTTTCAAAATCCTATGGTACAAGAAGCTATACGAATGGGATTCAGTTTCAAGGACATTAAGAAAATAATGGAAGAAAAAATTCAGACATCTGGGAGCAACTATAAATCATTTGAGGTTCTGATTGCAGATCTAGTGAGTGCTCAGAAAGACAGTACACAAGATGAATCAAGTCAGACTTCATTGCATAAAGGTATGCATGGATGTTTTTAAAAAGCAAGATAAACCTAACAGCAATTCATTATGGATAGTATCTTATGTGACTTTGTGGCCCATTCATTTCCCTTCTGTCACCTCTTCTTTAGGGTAAACATTTAAAAAAAATTTTTATCATGAAAAGTGTCAACCATACACAAAAAAGTAGAGAGAACGTTATAACAAATCCTCATGTACCCATCAACCAGCTTCAACAATTCAGTCATCATTTTCTAATCTTGTTTCATATCTTCCCCTTTTTTTGCCATAGTACTTCAAAGGAAATACCGGATATTATATATATTATTACCTATAAATACTTTGAGATATTGGTAACAGATAAGAGCATTTTTTTTTTTTTTAGACAGAGTCTCACTTTGTTGGCCAGGCTAGAGTGAGTGCCGTGGCGTCAGCCTAGCTCACAGCAACCTCAAACTCCTGGCTCAAGCAATCCTCCTGCCTCAGCCTCCCAAGTAGCTGGGACTACAGGCATGCCGCCACCATGCCGGCTAATTTTTGTATATATATTATTTGGCCAATTAATTTCTTCTATTTATAGTAAGCCGGTCTCGCTCTTGCTCAGGCTGGTTTCGAACTCCTGACTCGAGCAATCCACCCGCCCGGCCTCCCAGAGAGCTAGGATTACAGGCGTGAGCCACCGCGCCCGGCCAGATAAGAGCATTTTTAAAATACAACCATAATGCTGTATCTACTTGAGCTGCTATACAAAATACCATAGACTGGGTGGCCTAGACAACAGATATTTATTTCTCACAGTTCTAGAGGCTGGGAAGTCCGAGATCAAGGTGCCAGCAGATTGGTTCCTAGTGAGGGCCGTCTTCCTGGGTTGCAGATGGCTGCCTTCTCATTGTGTCTTCACATGGCATAGGCATGGGGAGGAAGTGCTCTGGTCTATCTTCCTCTGTTTATAAAGACATTAATCCCATCATGGGAATCTCACCCTCATGACCTCATCTAAACCAAATTACTTCCCCAAAGGCCCCACCTCCAAATATCATCACATTAGACATGGAAAAAAGATAAAAAATATGAATTCCTCCTTTATGGATAGTATAATGCTTGGCAGCAACATTGAAGATTAAAGAAGAAGTTTCAAACTACATACACTTTTGGATACTTATAATCACTGCTCTTTAAGCTCTTGACTACTCTCCTCCAAAAGGTGAAAATTCACCTAGTGCTAATAAACCTAAAAGTTTACTTATTTTTTTGACACATTTAAGACCCTTTTGATCTTTAAGATATTTCAAATGCTTTTGAAACATTATCCAGATAATTATGTAAATCATAAAATTATATGAATATTAATGATATTTAAAATTATATCCATTGATATAAAAGATTCAGGAGAAAGCTTACTACTTTTTCCTTAGAGATATATTTATTTAAAACCAGGCTGGGTGTGGTGGCTTACGCCTGTAATCCTAGCACTCTGGGAGGCTGAGGTAGGTGGATCGCTCAGGGTCAGGAGTTTGAGACCAACCTGAGCAAGAGTGAGACTGCGTCTCTACTAAAAAAAAAAAAAAAAAAGGAAATTAATTGGCCAACTAACATATTATAGAAAAAATTATTAGCTGGGCATGGTGGTGCATGCCTGTAGTCCCAGGTACTCAGGAGGCTGAGGTAGGAGGATCGCTTGAGCCCAGGAGTTGGAGGTTGCTGTGAGCTAGGCTGATGCCACGGCACTCTAGCCCAGGCAACAGAGTGAGACTCTGTCTCAAATAAATAAAATAAATAAATAATATATGTTAATATTATATATATAAATTAGCCAGGCATGGTGGCAAATGCCTGTAGTCCCAGCTACTTGGGAGGCTGAGGCAGAAGAATTGTTTAAGCCCAGGAGTTTGAGGCTTTTGAGGCTGCTGTGAGCTAGGCTGACGCCACGACACTCTAGTCTGGGGAACAAAGTGAGACTCTGTCTCAAAAACAAAAACCAGTACAAGTTCCACTTGTCTTGGTGGTGATAAAATAAATCATTTACTTGGTCATCTTTCTACTGTAATAGAAATACACGCAATTGTGTCTTTTTTCCCTGCACGTAAACACAACTAAAGCTAAATTAAGTTTGCCTATAATTTGTTAGTTTTTATACCTAAAAGTGTTGTCTGCAACAGAAGAATTTAGTGGGTTTCAGCAGGAAGAAAAAAGGGACAGTGCATTGGGGGGGGGTGTCTTTTCTCTATCCAATAGGAATTGATGGGGGCTCTTATTATCACTGAGACTGCAGACTAGGATGGTGTGGGAAGGAGGGCCTAAGTAAATGGCAGTCCTCAGAGATGGGAGTTGGAATTTATCAGTTGGTTCTCCTTAGTCTCACTAAATTGAGAGGCAGGCAGTTGACACAGGCTATCTATTCATGCTGGGACTGCTGCCTATTTCTCTTCCCAAAGGTTAATGAGGAAAGGCTGGCACTAAGATTCTTTTAATTTTATACAAAATAAGGATGGGCCTAATTGAAATGAAGCAGGTGAAAATTATTAGAAAAAGGATAACATTGTCACTGAGAATCCTAGATCTGATGCTAGCGTTTTTCCTCTTTTTAAAAATTATATCATGCTAGATAAAGCCCTTTATTTAGTATATGTGCTAAAGCACTTATGTTAATCCTTATGTATATATTACTGTATATAATATAAAAATCAAATAACCCATATTTGTCCACATAGATCTGCTCTAATAGTAAAATGAATAATATCAGTTCATTCTAGAAGAGGTTTAAAATGATGTATTAATAGTAAGCCTGAGCAAGAGTGAGACCCTGTCTCTACAAAGAAATAGAAAAATTAGCCAGGTGTTGTGGCATGTGCCTGTAGTCCCAGCTATTCAGGAGGCTGAGGCAGGTGGATCACTTGAGTCCAGGGGTTTGAGGCTGCAATGAGCTATGATCACAACACTGCAGTCCAGCCCAGGGAGACAGAGTGAGACCCTGTCTCAAAAAAAAAAAAAAAAACAAATGATGTAGTAAAAATATTAGCAAGTAACATTAAAGATTATCTAGCTATTGCTTTTATTGTTCATGTGCCAAGAACCTCCTGACTTAGAAGAGGGCCTTGTGGGAAGTAGTAAGGGAAAGGTGCTGTAGGGAAGGATGTAGAATCCAATAGTTGGCCGGGCGCTGTGGCTCACGCCTGTAATCCTAGCTCTTGGGAGGCCGAGGCGGGCGGATTGCTCAAGGTCAGGAGTTCAAAACCAGCCTGAGCAAGAGCGAGACCCCGTCTCTACTATAAATAGAAAGAATTAATTGGCCAACTGATATATATATAAAAAAAAAAATTAGCCGGGCATGGTGGCGCATGCCTGTAGTCCAGCTACCCAGGAGGCTGAGGCAGAAGGATCACTCGAGCCAGGAGTTTGAGGTTGCTGTGAGCTAGGCTGACGCCCACGGCACTCACGCAACCAACGCTCTGTCTCAAAAAAAAAAAAAAAAGAATCCAATAGTTATCTTTAAGGTTAGGGTGAAGCAATTGCCAGAGGTAAACTATAAGGCTGGTGGAAAAAATCTATGCCCAGAGCATCACCATTTCAAGTTAGTAGCTGTATCACAAGGCTTAAATAAAGTAGGAAAAGGTAGAGTTGATGGTATCAGTGTTTGGTAGACATGGCATTTCATTCTGTCTCTATAAATTTGGCTAGGTATCTGGACCAGTGTTATTTTTTTTTTTCAACTCATTGCAGTATCACATCAAAAAGCAATACATAATTACTTGTTTTCTTCCTTTTGATTTTGGCATGAATATACACTTCATTCTGACTTTTTTTTTTTTGGTGTTGATTCTTTCATATAAGTCAGTTTATAGTGCCATCTGTTTACTTATGTTGTTTCTTCTGCCCTAAATGCCTTTTCCCTGTCTGTATATCGAGTCACTTTCTCCACTCACCCCCAACTCCCTGAATCCATCTTGTGAATTCATCCTTCAAGGCTCAGTTCAGAAGTCACTTCATTCAGGTTTTCTCCGTACCCACCCCAGAGTTAGCAGTTCCTTCTTTTTTACTCCTTGTGCTGGTAGAGCATTTTTTACATTGTTTTGGAACTGTTTTCTTTCTGTCTTGTCCATTAGACCAAGCTTCTTGAGGGTAGGTGCTTTATCTTTCTATCTCTGATATGTTCCATGTTTGAGCCTATAGCTTTTATTATACCCAGGAAGTTGCTTTTTAAGAAGAAAGGGATTAAATAATCCTTTCCTCTATCCCTAGGAGAGAAATCTTTCTGAAGCACAAATGTGATCATATCTCACTCCAGTTTAAACCCTTCATTGGCTCCCAGGGCCCTCAGGGTTAAGTCCAAACTCCTTACATAGCTTGCCAAATCTTTTACAGTCAGGCTTCTGATAACCTTCTGTAGCTTCATTTCATGCTCTTTTCCCCTCAAATTCTTTGCCTAAGCTTTACCTGTACACTTGCAGGCCATGTTCTGTTTCTTCTCTTAGAGCTTGCTGATGCCATTTCCTCTACCCAGAACATGCTTCTTTTATTTCCCCTACCCCCAAGGCTTCTCTCTCCAAGTTAACTCCTAACTCATCTTTAGGCACCAGTTTAAGAATGACTTCCTCTGGAGGCTTTCCTTTATGCGTGCGTACGTGCACACACTTGCACACACCCTTCCTGTGCTTTCATAACACATTGTAATTACCTTCATCATAATATAATTCCTGTTACTGGTGTTCTTACTTGTATAGAACTATTGGGGCCTGAGGTTATATATTTGTTAATTGTATCTCTAGTGCCTAGAACCTAGTTAAGAATTCAGTAAGTATTTGTTGAATAAATTAAGCGGTTTCCAAAACATGTGTTCAGAATAGTGTTCCCCAGGATATTAAAAAGGATGCCATGAAAAAGGGGCTCCAAGGTTAAATAGGAAATGCATTGTACATTTCAAGCGGAGCATAACTATACTGTACTACATTGTAGTGGGTGGCAATGGTTCCCAAATACCAGTATGCCGACCCAGAAATTTTAGATTCTGTGATTGGGCCA